CAGTAACGATAGTAAAATTAAAATTTATTGGTAATATTTTAACATTTCCTCAACAAGCCTCTTCTTAAGTGAGACTATAATGCCAAAGTACCTAAAATTGAATAAATATTGGATTACTTAGAATATTTTCTTTTTTAAAGATTACTTGGTAGTTCAAATATATATTTTAAAAAGCGCTTACACTGTATTCGTCAAATTAATTTTTACACTTATGTACACTTTACCAAACATTAAGCTATCGATAAATCTGTCAACACTTACCTTCGTTTTAAAAAATGCTTTTCTACCGTATTTTAAATTAAAAATAAGTAGCATTTGTTTTAATTTAGATTAATTAAACTTTAAATCACTTAATCTTCTTCAAATAAAGTTTCAGAAAAGTATATTTTACTTTTGAAAGATTTTTTTTTGATAAAGAGAATTTTGTTGGGTTGATAGATATTTCAATAGGGCCGATTTCAGAAATATTTACGATTTAAAAAATATCAATCGAACCGACTTAAATTCGGTTTGAAATACAGCAAAGACATTTGTTTATTGGAAAAAATAAATTTGATCTATCGGCTTGGAATTAAAACTAAAATAAAAGCTTCAATAAAACCTTAATTTTTCTTGGTGGCGCCTCTCTCTCTCTCCCTATATATATATATATATATATATATATATATAGGTTGTGGATTTTGAAATCTGGGACCAATAAATAACAACGCCAGGAATGACTATATGAAAATAATGTATTAACGTAATAATACAAACTGGTAAAGCATGTTAGTAGTTCCAATAATACGGGTTAGTAGCAATATATATATATATACTGTCTTTGGTATTGAAGTATCGCTGTATGACTTCTTACTGAGTCTACGTGCTCGCTCACTGTGACTCCTACAACGCTGTTACCTCACCCCTCACTCTTCCGGTTACCAACAACCTTTTATTCTGTCACTCTGGACTCGACTCGACTCTTCGGTCTTGCTCTCCGGGTATTCACTGGCAGTAGTATAAGTATACACTGGTTGAGTCCATTTGTATAAAAAGGGGAGAACCCCTCAACAATTAGCAAATGATATATTCATATATTCATTATACTATATTAGTAAATATAATAATTAAAAAATAATAAATTTAATTATTAATAAATAAGCGTTTGGTTTTATAACTTTAATGTGATATTTGTTCAAAGTCAATAATACAATTAATAAAAAACATTGATATAATTATTCATATTTTTAATTAGATTCGTTAATTTTGTTGTGATGGTGATTTTTAAAAAAAGAAACGCATTTGCTATATAAACTTCAGGAAACATTTAATGCCATTTTCTAAGTTAGCAATTTCCGGTCAGTTCCCTTATATTGGGACTCTTGTTATACAAAAGAATTCCATAGCTACAATGGATAAATTTAATATTTTACAATAATTATAACAGAACGCGTTCATGCGCGTTTTTTAACAAATGACCATCACAACGTAATGCAGATTTTATCAGAGAGAACTTAGAGGAGATCAAAAGTACTTGGGTAGGAAAAAAAAACTAAGGCTCCTATCTTAATATCAACAGACTGATCAGACAACTGGAAAGGATCAGTATAAAAATAAATAGACATAATAATATGTCTATATTATTCAATGAAATATGTTTAAATGAACATATGCTGTCTATATACATATATATATATATATATATATATATATATATACACACACACACACATATATATATATATATATATATATATATATATATATATATATATATATATATATATACATGAATTATATATATATAGTATTTGTAAATTGATTGCACGTTTATCGTAATATATATATATATATATATATATATATATATATATATAAGCAAATATATGGATATAGATCCGACAGTATGAAGAAAAATATACTGAAAAAACAAACAAAAATCCTAATAAGCGATTATGCTGTTATAATGTTTAATATCAACGTCGGACGTTTCGGCCTAATAGACCATCTTCAGGACATATTCATAAAATTAACATAGACCATATACAATTCAACATGTAAAAGACGATGTTTGGATTGGTATTGTTTTTATGTTCATCGTCTTTTTCATGTTGAATTGTATATGGTCTATGTTAATTATGTTTTATGAATACGTCCTGAAGATGGTCTATAAGACCGAAACGTCCGAGGTTGCATTAAACATTATAACAGCATAATCGCATATTAGAATTTTTGTTTGTTTTTTCAGTATATTTTTCTTCATATATATATATATATATATATATGAATAAAAATAACGTCCTCCGAGGGAATTTATCAAGGCTATATATATATATATATATATATATATATATATATATATATATATATATATATATATATATATATATGGGGGGGTGCGTGTATGTGTGTGAAAAAAATGTATAGTCCTCTGGTCCTCTGAGGGACTTTATCAAGGCAATACATTCATAAATTCCCTCAGTGGACGAAACGCGTAGGGTAAGAATAGTTTTCCCCTTGAATTGTTTATATATGTTGTCCCATTACTCTTTTTGAAAACAGTTCATATATATATATATATATATATATATATATATACACGCACACACACACACATATATATATATATATATATATATATATATATATATATATATATATATATATATATATATATATATATATATATATATGCAGATGAATCAGTAAGTATAGAGTATTTATTAATGAGAATACATTGATGTAAAGAATCATTATATATTTTTCAACATTAAACTTAATTCATTACTAAATGTTAATCATGTCACATAGAAAAGTGCATAATCAAATTTTCACACGAAAATGTAATTAATAAGTAGCAGGCCATGAATTTCTTGATCCCCTTTTGTACATAAGGCTTGTTTAAAAGTGCACACAAGCAATAAAATTCTAAATATCTTGAATGACACTTTTAAGCTTATCCTAACACTGAACAAAAGGCCATTAAAACTTCTGCATCTACCTCACATTTCGGCCCGTCAAAATATTTTCTACTCACCAAACAGATCTGTATATAAATATATTGAAAAAGATTTCAATGTGTGTACAAATATAGGAATGTACACACGCTCAAACACTAATGCTTAAATCCACGTATGAATGTAATCTATAAATAGATGAAAAGACAGCCACGCCTAAACGAAGGTAACAGTACATATAAACATACTCTCTTTCTCTATTCACAAAAGCATCTTTAGTGCAGGGGGTACACAAAGTGAAGACATCCCTGAGGGGAAAGTTCTTTTCATCTCAGACAACAAACAAAGGACTTTTCTCTTTTGTTGGCCGCCTTCGCTTTTGTGGACCATCTGCAGACATTATGTCAGTCGGCCCTGCGTCTTCATTTTCAAAGACTGTCCTCTCCCCTTTCATACGCTTGATCATCACAATAAAAACAATATGTAATACATTAGGTCAGTTTGTTTTTCTGTGACCCACAAGTAGCATTACGCTTTAGGAATTAAAAGAAAATCCTACACACGCACCAATTTGTACAATGTCTGTTCGACATTAAAACAATCCATGTTTATCGTCATTACTCAGAACTGATAAGACGAGTTTTCAGAAGTAATTTTACTGAAACTCCGTTTTATCTACAATCACTCTTGCCAGTCGGCACACAAATCTTTAACATTCTACAGAAAGTCACTTTATCAAGATATATTATTTTATCATATTACCATCGATTTAGCTTAGGGAGATTAATCGATGTTAATATGAAAAAAAATTAATCAGGAATATCATTTTATTTTAATTTTCTAAATTTTCAAAGGGATGTTCAGTTTGCCATAAAAAAATCATTGTAAATTGAACCCCTACGAAAGACTCTACACCAAAATTGCTAATATCACGTAATAAAGAATATTCTTGCTAGCCTTAAAAAATTTCAAATAATTTTAATACAGTCGCTAAATAGTAATTTAAAGCATTTTCTTAGTTACCTTTTCCGTTTATTAATTAAGCGAGGGATCAGTTTACAATGAATTTACATAGCAAAAATTAATTTAGAATTTAGAATTTTTTATATATAAGAAATGCTACTCTGATCAAAGGAAAAATAATTTACTACGACTTAAATGTCTAGAGAGTGTCTTCATCACAAGGTCATTTACAGTAATTTTGAGTCCTGGCTCTTACAACATTTCACCATTCTTAGCAGATCTTCTGATATGACTATGTGGCATAACGACTTACAAAAGTGATGGAAAGAAAAAGAAAAAAATTTAAAAGGAATTCAGCTAGATAAAAAAAAAAGTCTAAAATTCTCAGCACCCCTTTGTCGTGTGCATGTGTAATCCTAATGACATAATAAATTTAGTGCGATGAAATCCTGAGGGATGAAACGCGTCGCAAATAAAGTTTTTCAATTTTGTCATACATTTTCCCCAATACTGTTCTTGATATATAAAAATATATATCGTTTTCTCATAGATAGATAGATAGATAGATCGATAGATAATAGCGAATTATGCATCGAAAAATGATACATATTTATTTGTATCTCATTCATTTAAACCGTTATTTAACCCCTCTCTTTAAAACTTCACTCTGTTAAATTTGAATCTTCACCTTCACCTTTAGGCCTTCCTGTTCTTCTTTCTTCTGTTACAACTCTCTCTAGAACTTTGATACATTTCCCTCTCACACTTGTTTCCTACTCCCACACATACACTCTCACTAAAAAATTTTATACCCGGAGTTATATTTTCCGATTTCTTTTTGAATTTGTAGGTCTGATGAATTGGATCGTGATTACGATTCCAATGTAATAAATTATAACCATGGAATATTAGTGTTTGGGCATTTTTTTTTATATATATATATATATATATATATATATATATATATATATGTGTGTGTGTGTGTGTGTGTGTGTGTGTGTGTGTGTAAAAGATGCGTAATCGATAGTAATAAAAATGAAAATTATGCGTTTCTGTAGAAAACTGATTTGGTTGTTTTTAAATTTAGGAAAGGAAATGTAAATCCGATCACAGAAGTTAAGCAACGTCGAGCCTGGTCAGTACCTGAATGGGAGACCACTTGGAAATAACATGTGCTGTAAGCTTGGATGTGAGGATGCTGTAAAGAATAACAGAATAACCGATAAAGAATAATAGAATAAAAGAATAAAGAATAATAGGTTGGAAATCGGAGAGCTGTGTCCATTGAAATAGATACAAATTTGTATATCCTCAAGGACACATGGCACAGTGGATAAAGGCGTTGGTTAGATCCAGTGACAGGACCAAAGCAATGTGAGTTCAATACCTGGTTAAGGCAGTGGAGAACTTGGAGAGGGGAATTAACAGGAGATAATTGACAACTGGCATCCATTAGACATGGCACGTGGAACTAGAACAGTCTACCCTAGTGAGCGAAATAAAGGGTTCAGTTCGACATTCCCACCACCCGAAGGAGGTCGGAGCATACAACGACCGAAACTTTGTAATAAATATGGGGCAAAATGAGGACAATTGTCCGAACAATGTAAATAGTGTACATAATACCTCATCTCAGAAATATAGACAGATATTGAAAGGCCGAAACGTTGTAATAAATATGGCGACAAAGATGAGGACAATAGTCCGAATAATGTAAATAGTGTACATAATACCTCATCTCAGAAATATAGACAGATATTGAAAGGCCGAAACGTTGTAATAAATATGGCGACAAAGATGAGGACAATAGTCCGAATAATGTAAATAGTGTACATAATACCTCATCTCAGAAATATCGACAGATATTGAAAGGCCGAAACGTTGTAATAAATATGGCGACAAAGATGAGGACAATAGTCCGAATAATGTAAATAATGTACGTAATACCTCATTTCAGAAATATAGACAGATATTGAAAGGCCGAAACGTTCTAATCAATATGGCGACAACGATGAGGACATTAGTCCGAATAATGTAAATAGTGTACATAATACCTCATCTCAGAAATATAGACAGATATTGAAAGGCCGAAACGTTGTAATAAATATGGCGACAAAGATGAAGACGGTAGTCTGAATAATGTAAATAGTGTACATAATACCTCATCTCAGAAATATAGACAGATATTGAAAGGCCGAAACGTTGTAATAAATATGGCGACAAAGATGAGGACAATAGTCCGAATAATGTAAATAGTGTACATAATACCTCATCTCAGAAATATAGACAGATATTGAAAGGCCGAAACGTTGTAATAAATATGGCGACAAAGATGAGGACAATAGTCCGAATAATGTAAATAGTGTACATAATACCTCATCTCAGAAATATAGACAGATATTGTATGTTACAACCACGAATGTTATCCCACGTTTATTACTATCAAAGTTTCCCGCATCAAAACCATTTGATTAAATAGACTAAAAATTATTCGCATTTAATAATTAAAATTTCAGTTATTTTCTCTAATAAAATAAAATTGATCATCACATGCTTTCCTAACCCTAACCTTTTCTTCCCGAGACCAAACCACCACCACTACATTAATACTGCACTTCTAAATGGAGCAGAGTTAATGTCTCGGGTTTACTTTTTGCAACACCAACCCCGAGAAGTAATTGCTAAACGACAGCTGTAATATTTGATCGTCGCAATTGTCGAACTTCGATTTGCAGGTTTTGTTCTATACACATATTTCCAATTGCAAAAACATGTTTAAAATATTCTAAAATGGAAGTTTGCAAGCAAAAACGATGAACGAACGCGTATATAAAATGATTAATACAGATTGAAATAATTAAATCATCTTGTTAAAATTATAGTGTGCCCTATAATGGAACACTTATTCGTTATTTAAGAATTCACGGTAAGCACAAAGGAGCGTTTACGGTCAACTTTGCGAAATATTGATCTATAACAGTGAATAAGAGTAGTTTCGATTTTGATACTGCTGGCTTAATGCGATAGGTAAATTGTCGACATTTTATAATTTAAATTTCGCGCATGCGCGTTTTTTTAAATTTTTTTTTTTTATTTTTATTTATTTATTTTTGATTTTGTCGACTGTATAGTAGGATCAGTTGAGCACCGTCTGTAAGAAAAAAGAGCCCCATAACGCAATTCTGCCAAAAATTTGGAAATGGTATGGTGTACAGGTTAGAATTCCCGCTGGAAACTCCAATAGAAACATGACAATGCAAAGGTTTCAGAAAGAGCTGAATGAGTCTAATGGTGTTTACGAAGCTGTTTGGAGTGATCACTAGTGATGGCGAAGTTATGCCTCCATTCACCTTCACACAGGGCCTTAGACACAACACGGAAGCCTACATCAAGTGCCTTGAGTAGGTAATGCTGTTCTCGGTCAAGAGGGTGAACGATGGAAGAACCTATGTCTGGCAACAGGGTTTTTGTACCATGCTACACGAACAGGCGAACACATTCATGGCTCTCAGACAATTTCTGCAATCACATCACCCCTTACATCTAGCCACCTAACTCTCCAGGCTGCAACTTCCTTGATTAGTACATGTGGGGCACAGTTGAGCAAGTGACTGACAAAACTCATTGTAACACCAAAATGAACTAAAGACAACGATTATGGCTGCATTCAAGGAGACCAGAAGAGTTGCAGGAGATTCCGAATTCGTCTGGAGGCCGTGGTTAAAGCCAATGGCTATTTTATTGAATAAATTTACTCTTTAGTATGTCTGATATTTCTGTGTATTTATGGCAAATATATCTGTTAAAATGAAATGTCAGTATTATTTTAATGTTTGTGTAATTTAGACGACAATTTATCCATCGCACCCTGTATGTATTTGTTAGTTGTTAGTTATAATACGGAGGCACGGTGGAGTAATGGATCGCGGCTCTAATGGATTGCAGTCGTGTTTGTTGCATTCACTTATGTGCAAATATCCTTGGGAAAGGTATGAATCCATCACTTCTCATTTCCCCTCCTCCAGCTATGGATAAAATAGCAGGATAGACTGAGTCCTATGGCCTTAGGGGTCAAAAATGTCTAGGTGGACAACACTGATTCAAAAACTAAGCGTGATGAGTATGGCTACACTTCTGAAAATATGTTCAACCATGGAAGTGTTCCCCCAAGGAAGGAGAAAGCCTTGAATTTGGATCCGATCTAATGGTACCATTTTTTATTCATAATTCTGTCAATGGTTTAGGTTACTAGAGACTGTTTCTGAAAACCAATATCTCTCCTCAGAAATTAGCTCAGACCATAAGCACTCACATTTGTGATAATTCCTTCTTTCTTCATTGAAAGTCAGTGTTTTCGTCTCTTTCAATTTATTGACCATATTTTTACATGTAGGAAGCGTGACTCAAAAAATGTAATAGAGCTGTGCCTGCAAAATGAAAACACGGGAATTGGATCTTTATTACTTTGCATTTCGTCAGTTAGGCTTACATCAAGTTAAACAACGTTGTTCCTGGTCAATACCTGAACGAGTGACCGCTTGGGAATACCAGGTGCTGTGAGTTTGGATATACAGATAGCGTAACAGATAATAATCTCCTCCCTCAGTTATGGGTTAATTAGTAAATCACTAAATCAATTACAACCTTAAGTTTACAATCTAAAAATATTTTCTGGCTTTATATAACTTTCAACGTGTTGATTAGTTGGGGAAAATGAATGAATGAATCAATTCGTCAGTTACTCTCGGCTAGTCTATTGTATATGGCTCCGTAGAATCAGTCAACTTAAACATTGTCCTTACAGCTTATCTGTAATGTGTGTGTGATGCAGGTGTGAGGTCACATACTTCCACATTCGGCGACCGGGAATGACCCCCAGGTCAACCCTCTAGCATACCCAACATCATACTGCAAAAAATTGGGAACTTAAGAACGCGAAATAGTTTTGCAAAATAATGAAAATAAGGTTTCGATGTTTCCAAAGAGAAAGATTTCGAGAGATCAGTAAGGTAACCGTTGAAACATGGAAAACGCTGAATAACTTAACAGATAAAAATAAAGATTGCTCAATTAGAATGCAAAGACCAAAATGTACAATTTGCAATCTATACCAGCCGTTACAGCTAGAACCCGTCATACCACGCACACAGAGTCACAGAATCCTTATTTCCTTTATATTCCATTAGTAAGAAAGAAGTTTCACACAGGCAGCTTCTTCTCAGGAACCGTTACTTTGGATAAGAGATTTTCGAGTGGATACTTCCCCGATCATTACAATCTTAATCTCTTCAGCCGTTATCTATCATGCATATCCTCCTAATCTGCACTTACTTTCTCTTCTTAAGTTCAAAATGAGGTTAACCTCATTCAGTAATCCTATACCTTGAGAGGCTCTTGTGTCTTGTATTGAACGTTTAGTAAAAAATATGTGAACGTTTAGTAAAAAATACGAATGTAATATTTTGGTAATTTTCTCCACTAATTCGACGCATGATATTGAAATCTTGTGACTGCATTGACTTCAAAAAAACTTGATAAGACAATGCATTTAAGGAAAAGAAAACTGGTCATTTAATACCTTCCATGTAAAATCGGTATCATATTTTTAGGAAAATAAAACAAGTTGCTTGTTTTTACATCTCAAAATATACGCAGAGTTCGTGAGGCCCTTGACGAGACACACACCACAAGGGTCACTGCATTAGATATCTTGAAGGCCTTCGACAACGTGTGGTACAAAGATTTGCTACACAAGCTCTCCAGCTATGGACTCACCAAAAGTTTTTTTTTTCCTATTATAAAATCCTTGTGGTACTTACATTGTAGAAAAACAATTAACATCCCCTCCGTATTCCACCGGTAAGAAGAAAGTTCCACTCAAACAGCTTCTTCCCGCAAACCGCTGCTCTATGGAACCGATTCCCAAGAGAATGTTTCCCGGATCACTACAATCTTAACATGTCTAGAGTCATCTGTTATCTTCCTCTTCTATCCATATAAACTACCCTTTAACGTAACACTCTACCTCGTGTGGACCCCGAGCCTTGTACAGGGTGAATCTTACTGTAAAAAAAAAAATAGGAGTTATATTAGACATGGAATCGCAATAAACGTACAGTACTGATAAGAATATCAATCCAGAATTATCCCCGATCCCAGCAAAGTTACTTAACTGCTGTTTG